TAATAGAACGTACAATTGTTTGGTCTAATAAGTCATTCACTTATACCAAACAAATATATGTCTTATATAAATGTGTTACAATAAGCCTATAATGTAATACCCCATGATCACATTTTCATATAAACATATATTTTCATATATCAAGACATATAATTTATACATGCGGTCCCAGTATCTACAAAAGCTATATTACAAAGTAACTAACAACTTTTTCTACAAAATCTCTATGCAAAACTTGTAATACAACAAGTTCTCAAATACAAAAGATCAACATGATATCCTTGATATTCCATGCAGACAAATATAATTCTTCACAATTTTCCTTTTCTCTTATCTTCTGGTTGAGTCCGACCTGTAATGCACATTTTTAACACCAAAATGAGGGTTAAACCTTAAGATCTAGTGAGAAATCTTTTTAATGCTATTACAAACACATTTATAAACTCATATTTAGTAATCAATAAACTATTTTTGATATAACACGCCTCTTTTGTCGCATTAAAATGATGAGATAGCCTATTTAACACATTCTGGTAAAATTTATAGCATCACATAGATGAATATATAACTTCCTCACATCACATGGGTGAGACAACCCCGTCTCCTTGCAACACACTAGTGCGAGGATCTCAACTCATCGCATCACATTGGTGCGATAAACCTAACTTGTCGCATTATATAGATGCGACAAGTCAACTTGTCGCATCACATGGATGCGACAAACTCACTCCTCACATCATATGAGTGCGATAACCACTATTCATCGCATCAATAGGATGCGATAACTTTAAGTCATCGCATCACACAGATGCGATAACTCCAAGTCATCGCATCATAAGAATGAGATAACAATGAATATTTTGATCAAAAACCCAGATTTTATATTTCAATGATTTTGCCACCCTTATCCTGGTATATACCTCTTCTTGATATGTCATTTTTATTCCAATATACACATCTCCTTGATATGTCACCCTTATAACCAAATGCACCTTTCCTGATATGCCACCCTTATAACCCAAAATACATCTCTCTTAAGATATAACATATCAAAATCCCACAGTTATGCCAATTATAGAATCCAAAAACAGTTTTATAAACATCTCCTCATATAAAGAACCATACGGTTCTAATTCCCAAATTACCAAATAAGGAAAGTTTGTAAATAAATCACCTTAATCACAAAAAGATGAATTTATGGAGATGAATAGCAACTAATCCAGGCAAATAATCACATAAACTATTTCTACTTGCTTCTTCTTCTTGCAACTGTTTACTCGAGCTCCAGAGCAGATCTCACACACACATCAAATTATTTACCAACTTTTATCATCCTTTTCATGACATAATTTAAAATCTCTCATTTTAAAACCCATTAAACAACTGAGGCGGTGAGAGTTAAATAATTTAAACACATAAGTAATTTAACCCCCTCAACTTTCCATCATTTTCAAAAACAATCCCAAACTTTATAACCGAATAACTGGTTATAACATATAAATTATATGTTCTATTAATAAAATTGCATGTTCTATTAATAAAATTGCATACATTTATTTGGTTAAAATAACCTAATATAGTTAATTGTTGGTCCTATAAGAAAATTATTTCGTTTAGTCCATAATAAAGAAAAAGGAATTAAAAAACTATCATGTGAGAGATACTCAGTGACTTATACTTAAATGACGTTAGTTACAAAAATAGCATGAATAAGAAGCTAAGACTATAATGATAAAAGAATATGAAACAGTGGATTGTATGAAAAAAATATTTAATTATTTTATCATATACATAATTCTTTTAGAGTAAATTACGCATATCGTCCCTATGGTTATTGAAATTTTGGATTCGGTCCCCTAAAGAAACTAATTATATGTATGATCACCATGGTTTCACTTTTGTCATTGATTGGGTCCCTTACCCTAACTTCACCAAATTTGCGCTAAACCAGGGGTAATATCGTCATTTTACTTTTTTTTTAAATGTAAAAAATCATTTACAAGCATCGAGAAGAATTTGAATGAGCACAAAGACAAGCTTCCTAGTGAACCGGACTCTAAAATCGAAGCTGTTATGGCCGACTTAGGAAAGTTGATGGTAGTAAGGATGTTGTCGAGATTCAGGTGAAGATTGATGGGGAAAACAATGGACGGTTTAAGACCGGACAACATATGCAAGGTGGTTTAAGAAGATTGGTGGTTTTTTATAATTGATGGTTTCAAATCTGATCACAAGTTTCTTATTCAAAATTTGTAAAGGTTTAGAATAATTTAGCTATCAAAATCAAAAGGGGTGGGAGAGTTTGTGGTCAATCGTAGTCAAATATCAAATTCAAAGCCATGAACATCAACAGGTATAACTCGAATAGATTGAAATCCATATCAAAAAACCATTGCCAAAACCCTAATAAGAACCTTAATCAAAACCTGAAATCCCAGAGAAGAAGAAACAAATGCAAAACCTCAATTTTTTTGTCGATTTTTGAGTGTCTTCTTTGATTTTTGAATGCTTCATTCCGTTTCTTCAACCCAAGGATTCACTAGAATAAACCATAGGATTCACTTGATTTTGTTCACCAGATGGTTCCTTCTTGTCTTCAACCCAAGGATTCACTAGAAAAAAAAATAGGATCTGGATTCACTCGATTCTATGTTCCACGCGATTTTGGTGTTCACTTTGATTTCTGCAACCATCAACCCAAGCAGATGTTCCTTCTTCTTTTTTATTAACCTGGATATCCAACTCGCTATGCGAGCCGACTAACCTCAGGGCGACCACCTGCTTTGCAGATAGCCCGGAGTCACTGCATTTGAACTTCGTGGCCACAAGGGGATTTTTATTCCTACTTGGATTTAAACCTGGGACCTCCTGGTACTTTTGACCTTTGGAGCCAAGCTCAAACCAATCAGGCACCACCCTTGTGATTTTCGTTCACTCTTTTTGTTCACTAGATCTGGTTCACTCGATTTTGTTAACCAACCAAAGCTGGAGGGGATGGGGATGCGTTGACGAGGGGAAGGAGCCATATATGGTGGGGTTTGTACGAAGGGTATATTGCAGAAAGAAGATAAGCGGTGCCGGTGAGAACTAGTGTCGTGGGGGAAATGTTTCTTCCAGAGAGAGCACAGTGAGACATGTACATGTATATAGTAATAAATTTTTATGTTTTTTATATTTTATTTTAAAAGGAAAAAACAAGTAAAAGACCAAATTTCCCTTGACTTAACGGAGCTGGAGTTAACGACGTTAGAATAAGGGAGGCAATATGTAACAAAAAAGAAACCACAATGATTACAATTGTAATTATTTTGTTTGGAGGACATAATCCATAAGTTGTATATAACCACAGGGACGAAATTTGTAATTTACTATTTCTTTTATGAATTAATTATTTTATCAAACAATATATGGTTTGATTAACTCAAAATAAAATAGAAACCAAAAAAGATATTTAATAAACCAAAATGAAAAACTAAATCAAAAAGACTAAACTACCCCTAAATTAAATAGAGAAATTTTAATAGATTTAGTCTTAAGGAAGAAAAGAACAATAAACTACAAACTATGGAGACGAAAACAACAACAAATTAAAAACCACGAGGACGAAAAATGAATCAAAACCAAAAGGACGAAAATCGCAATCTTTCACAAAGATATATGTAAGGGCCTCGACGACAAATTCTTCAAAAAAGTTTCAAAGAGTCAAAAATCAAAAAATTAAAAAAATTAAAATATTTAATGGAATATAATTTTTGTCCTAAATATTTGATTTCAAAAACTTTTATTGATGAGAATAATCAAATGTATTTTTCACTTCTAAGCAATCATTTTTTAAGTTCTTTATATTTGAGGATTTTTACCATCTCTCATGCTCTCTCCTTTTTTATAAAGGTTTTAAAGAATTCATGTGAGTAAAGAAAATATCCTTGAAATCTCTATTCTCTCAATATTGTTATTGTCCATTTTAGAAAATCTATTGGAGATATTATAAGAGAAATTGAACCAACTTTAACCTTAATTCTATTTTAAGAAACCAACTTTTAAATTCAAGATGTGTAACAAACTTTTCATTTATTTAAGGGTGTTGTTTATGATAACATTAAAATGATGAATTAAATTTCGAGAGGAGGACGGATGGGGTTTCTTCCATGGCATCAACATTTGTTTAATGATATATTTGTCCATGGAAACACGGTTGTTTGATCGATAGATAAACCATTGATAAGTTTAGAATTTTTTTAGTTTTTCATTCCTGGAAGTATGAATCAAAGTTTTTTGATGATATTTCTTCCACTTAATGGGTTTTTATTTGATGACTCAATTGTTGGATGATCCACTTGAATGTGTTACTTCGAAGATGAATTTGGGCGGAGAATGCAAGGGGATGGGGTGGGGTGGGGTAACAAAAACAATTAAAGCTGAAATTTTACTTTTAAAATTATTTTGTATTTATTATTTAAATTTTAAATATGAGGTTGCTACAAGTTCCACATTAAGTAAACCTAATTTCTTAAAAGGTTGCTACAAAATTCCTCATTAGATTCATTAAGAGGTTACACTTTTTTAGAAAATTTCGTATTCTGGTTTTACATAGGGGACCAATTTTTTCAAATAAAGGTAATAATATTTAAAGAGTTGTAATACCAAATTTTGAAGAAAGCAATGTTTCAATTTCAGAAATTATATTATAGTAGGTAAAAATAGATAAAAAAAAATTAACAAAAACCAAGCGTGGCCCACAACTGAATTTGGGTAAGGCCAGGGAATATGATATGTATATACCTTTTTTTTCAAACCTTGTTCGTAGGTAGAGACTAGGGATGAATAAAAAATTCAACAAGTTTTTGAGCCCTCTCCATTTCTAGAAAACCCCCATTTTCGGTATTTATATTATAGAGAAGAGAACCTGTGTTGGGTATGGGACACACTACACCAATCCTTAAACCTCAACTGGTTTCTGGTCGGGAACTATCAGGTAGACAAGATAAAGAAAAGACTCGTTACCCTCAAATAAACTAGTAATTAAAGGAAATGCAAATTAACAAACTCCAAAACTCTGCTACAAATGTTCTTGGAAGCCTCAACACAAAATTTGAGCACACACCCATACATTCATTATTCAACCACCTTCCTTCTACACAGCAATAAAACTCAGATTGATTTTGATTACCACATTCCACATGGACATCATCAATCTAGTAGGGTTCAACAGGCTTGCGGAAGTTCTCTCCTGCATAAACTGCTTCTGACCCAAGCTCTTCTTCGATTCGCAACAGCTGTCAGTCAAAACACATTCCATTTCATTTTTTGTTACATACTTGCTCATTACATACATAATATAGGAGGAGGAGCATCATCATAAATAAAAGGCAATTTGTGACAGAAATCTACCTGGTTGTACTTTGCAAGACGCTCAGACCTGCATGGAGCTCCAGTCTTGATTTGACCCTGGTTAAGTTCCATTCCATTCCATCAGAATCACAGACCACAAATTTTGAATTTTTTTTTACTTTTCTAAGTGCATAATAGTTTTTCATTTACCGTTGCCAAACCCACTGATAGATCAGCGATGAAGGTGTCCTCTGTCTCTCCACTGCAAACATAATAATAATAATAACAAACCGTAAATTTTCTTCATCATACAAGAAAAAGTAGTCGGAGATCCATAGAATTTGATCTTTTCATACCTTCGGTGACTGGCCATCACTCCCCAACCAGCATGCTTTGACATTTTCACAGCTTCAATGCTCTCAGTCACCGATCCAATTTGGTTAACCTAAAATCAATCAATGTAAACCATCAACTAATTGTTTACTTATACAGAGACCTTAACAGCATTGACTGGTGATATACCTTAAGGAGAAGAGCATTGCATGTCTTCTCGTTGATTGCCTTCTTAACTCTCTGTAAATACAGATCAAAGTATTCATTGAATGATAATCAAATAATTCAAAATAGAGAAAATTTGGTAGATCAAAACAAAGCGGTAAATCTAACCGTGGGGTTGGTGACCAGAAGATCATCTCCCACAATTTGTACAAGTTCACCGCATTCTGCGGTCATCTTGCCATAGTGCTCCCAATCATCTTGGTCAAATGGATCCTCAATGGACACAATAGGGTACTCGCTCACAAATGACTTGTAAAGATCTTTCAGTTGATCTCCTGAGATCTTTTCTTTGCCATCGTTGTTCTGTTGCATTAGATAACCGAAAATACAAACACATGTGAGATAATTGATTATATAGCTGTAGATCCTTCAAGGAACCATATATATGTTTCTTACACTTGTTTGATATATTGATTCTTGTATAATATATCATGCAAATTCTTAATATCTCCAATCCATAAGATCAAATATTAACATAGAATGAGCAATTCACCTCCTCCTTGAAGTTTAGATCATAGGTCTTGTCACTTCCATAAAATTCAGATGCGGCAACATCCATTCCAATGACAACCTATAGAAATAACACATTGAAAATGTTTTTATACTCATAAATATAATTTAGTTAACTAGCAAAAAGTCAAGGAAATAAAAAAGCATGACATCCACACAAACAAATTACGCAAGAGGTTGGGTTTCAACAATTACCTTTCCTGTGTATCCAGCCTTAGCAATTGCTGTCTTGAGCAATTCAAGACCTTCCTTGTTTTCCTGAAGTTCAAAAAAGAGAAGTTGATGTTAGAAAGACATCAAAAACTAGATAAAAACACACATGCTAACATAATCCATGCTTAACCTGAATGTTGGGAGCAAAGCCACCTTCATCACCAACATTTGTTGCATCCTGACCATATTTCTTCTTGATCACAGACTGAAATCAGATTAAATGGTTAGTGCCTGAGAGACCAAATGCATATGTGAAGAATCTATACTATATTATAAAGTATTTATATTTTTGCGCTTTTAAACTCTCAATTTTTCAAAGGTACAACTTATAAAACATCAAGTACAAATTATTAATGCATACAAAATATTGCAATTTCAAAAACAATCCTATTCACCCCTTCTATAAATCTTAAGAACAAAGTTCTTGGAAACTTTCTACTACCCTTCCCAAACACAAGATTAAATAAACAACAGAATATTAATCGAGATTTTTGGAAACCACGGCTCACAATAGATCCATTTCCCAATAACAAATAAATTTAAAACAATTCCAATTTCCGGCTTATAATTAAATTTTTATATTCTGCTGCATTGCACAATTACAATTCTAGTAATTAATTAGATATGAAGAATCATTGCTCACCTTCAAGTGGTGATATACTTCAACACCCATCTTCATGGCTTCCTTAAAGCTTGAGGCACCAACAGGGAGAATCATAAATTCCTGTTAAACTAAGCTTGTGAGAATCTTTTGGTAAAAATTGTTCAGAATACAGCATCAAGAAGTGTAATCAAGACATACCTGCATGGCAAGCTTGTTTCCAGCATGTGATCCACCATTAATGACATTAAAGGCAGGTACCGGCAAAACTAATTGCTTGTTACCAGCCAAGTTGGCAATGTGCTGCACTCAAAAGTTTCCAGTTAAATAAAAGAAAATTTACAAAACACTTGTATGAGAAAAGAAAAAGTGAACCTATATGTTTATTAATTGAAAGGTAACTAAACGGTCATTGGATTGGACTGTTTAAGTTTGCCATCCAAGAACCGCCCAATGCAATTCGAAATTTGAAATTTTGGTTCCGTTACGATCCAATTATGATTGGATACCCAAAATTTTGGAACATACGACATGTATCATGCAAGTCCGAGCAATACCATGGAACATGCGCAAAAGGGTTACGCCTAGGATTTAAGATTACCTTATAAAGGGGGATCTTGAGGACAATAGCCCCAGCCTTGCAGAGTGCAAGAGACACGGCCAGGATGGCATTTGCTCCAAGCTAAAGAAATTAATGGTTCAGCAATTAGTAATGTTTATATCAAAGATCATAAAATATCCAAATCAGCGTATTTCAAATGTATACCTTTTGCTTGCACCAGCCCCACTCGTTTTGAGTTCCATCAAGTTGTTGAACCATGAAATTATCAATACCAGTCTGATCACAAGGGTCCTGTAACACACAAGATATATTAAGATAAGACTTCTGAGATTTGAAGCAACTTATTTGCTCCAACATATTCTCCAAGGCTTTCTCCAAAATGGAGAAAGTATGAGAGAAAACATAACGATCTCCAAATTTGGAGATTTCTCCAATATTAAATTATCAAGAGAAATGATTTTTTTATTGTCTCCATCAATAAAATTGATTGTATTATTATTTTTGTATAACACCTATTGAAAAATTTATTGGGATTTTATATCTATTATATATTTTAATAAAATTATTAATATTAAAATCTCCAAAAATGGAAAATCTATTGGAGCTAGAGAATCTTTTCGGAGATTTTAAATTTTGTTATAGAGAATCCATTGGCAATGCTCTTATGAACCCCTGGGCTTATAAACCGCTGATATGAAATCAATATGAAGGATTAAGTTGAGGTTAATGAGCAAACCTTGCCAACAAGAGCAGGGCCGATAATGGTGTTAACATTTGCAACAGCCTACAAACAGAGCAAATATAATATTATATCAGACATCTTCTCGTAAACAAACAAACAATAATCAATCAGAACCACCAACTCACCTTGGAGACACCTTTTCCAAGGTAGTCTGACCCTCCATCCCTTAGTTCAAGGGCCTCGTAAATGCCTACAAGACAAGAATTATAATTATATCATATAGTATTATAGTATGTCCAAAATAGAAAAAGATACTGAACCCGAAAAGAAATTTATATATCATCTGATATGTCCAAAATACACCATATGCCGATTTAAAAAATACAAGAAATGCATGGTAGAATATAGCCGGGGAAACAGATCTTACCAGTGGATGCACCGCTGGGTACGGCAGCTCTTGCCAATGTGCCATCAGATAGAATAATATCCACCTAAATCATAAAGAAAAAACCATCAAGTTAAGAGAAGGGAACTTACCGCAGCAATCGAAATGCAAATAGTATTATTTGACTTCGGCATTTCAAACCCAACCCTAATACCTATCTTTTACATTAAAAAAAAACCAAATCACTCCAACCCAAAACCATTTCTTACACCATTTGTTGCGGGCTAATAGTATAACATCAAATTTGGTGTTTCATATTTATGTGATTTTAATTTATTTGACTGGTAATAATATTTTGATTATAATATTTGTTAAAAATTTATTTATATCAGTTTATGATGTATAATTAATTTTTTTATTTTTAGGTGTCAAACTTATTTACAAACTTAAATATTAAATAAAATATATAAAGCACAATCACATATTTACAATAAAATATCACTAACACATGTATTACAATACAAGAAAATAAAAACATAAATAACCGGAAAATAAATTTATACAACACATAATAGTAACAAAAAAGAATTCATTAGTCGAATCTGTAAACAACAAATAAAAGGATATTATTGAAAATTTATTGTGGATCGGAATAAGGAATATATTTTGGAATATTAGTGTCAAAAAATGAAGTAATTAGTTGAAGATGAATCACTGTTTAGTGTTTACATCATTTTTTATGCAAGAAATGGTACAATCGATTGCACATGGTCTTATAGATTTAAGTTTCGCTGCTATTTACCGATCAATTAAACCTTGTATCAGTAATAGATCCAAGTACAAGTTCAAATCGATAGCAAAAATCGAAGTAGACTTTTCTACTTGATGCAAAAGTAATTGTATATAAGCAGGTACATATATAACAACGATCTGAACAACCCAAGCACATAGCATCAAATCACTTAAAGAAAAATAATCATCGAAAGAAAAATAATCACCGATTCAACACGAAAACCAACAAATCTGTAAGAAAACGATATGAAATACCAAAATCAAAGAAAACACAAAGGAATCTAAGCAAAGTAATAGACCTCAACGGTAGGATTGCCTCTGCTGTCGAAGATCTGTCGTGCCTTCACTGCCTTGATGGTTGCCATAGTTGTTCTTCGAGATTAAGATCTAGAGAGAGAGAGAGAGAGAGAGAGAGTGAGAGAGATGGGATTAGGTGAAGTGAGAGATTTAGGAACAAGGCACAACGTGTACTTGTAGAGTGGCGGAGTAAACTACAGCCGTCCGATCCGCGTGATTTGAAAGCCATAAGACTCATGCCAGTATTATTTACAAATCTAAACCTTCAAGTTTAGTGGTATTTACAGTCTTAATATAGATGGTAAACATTGTTTGCAATTTGATCCCAAAAGTGTTGCTTCTTTGACCTTTCCTTTACCTAAAAGGACATATTTTTTTAGGTGGAAGGAGGACATGCCCCTTTATTTCGTGTCATTTTCCATTAGTCAGAAATTTTGGCCTCACTAAGTTTTTCCTAGTGTTCACAAAACATCTTTATTATTCATTCCATTTTTATGGTCTTTTTGTTAACAGTTTGAAAGACTCACAGTTTATTTAACTAACTACATATGATTGTTTGGTAATCGCTTAATAATATAAAAAATAACTTGTTCAATAAGTTTTTAGAGAGAGTTTTATATTAATAGTCAAGTTTTTTTCTAAACTTGTAGCTTTCAACTTAAAAACGCGCTCCTTTCATATATATATATAATTCTCTTAAATAAAAACTTTTTCAATCTATACAGATAGATTAATCTACAAAAACAGTTTTTCTATACAAAAATTAATATAAAACCAACCAAACAACCTCATTTTAGTTTGTGTTGAAATGGTATAAAATTTAGTACAAACAGTAAATTTATCTTTAAGCTATTATATCATTATTAACATCAAATAGAGTTATAGAATATTCCAGGTATATCTCTTATTTCTAACTCATGTACATCGTACCTTTATTGTTTTTAGTCTTTTACAAATTCGACCTACAATTCTTTTTGGTACGATAGCTCTATAAGGTACCAAACTCAAAACATAGGTGGATTACAAAGTGGTTTCCTTGGGGAAAATTTCTCTCTTAAAGGGGAAGATCCAGTAAATTGCAAAACATAACCCTCCCATAATGTAATGTGCTATGTTGGGTATGGTTTGACATATCTAAATAAAACGAGTTTATTCAACTCCTGAGAGATTCTATAGTTTCTGAGCTTGAAGGTCTGATAGTGCTAGAGTTAACACCAAGCCACAAAGAAGGCACGGGTCATATTTTAGACTAGATGTAATGAATTCATAGGCATATTAGTCAAATTACGATGATAAGATGGGATAATTGTTCCCGTACCATGGCCAGATACAAGAATTATATCACCAGAGGACTCGAACTACAGACCTTGGTTGAACATGATGACCATGTGACCCGTAACAATCCATTTCAAGCGAAAGAGCATATCTTATTTCATTGGGAAATTCGAACTACAGACTGTGGGTGGTTCAACTCGATGATCTATGTTCCATAATAAAAGCTCTATAACATTGAAATGTGGTTTATTCTTGTGATCCGTCACTGTCAATGGTAAATAGGGTCTTCCCCGTCATCTTACGATGTTTTACACCCTTCTAAAGGTAAATATGATTTAATTACATGAAATGACTTGATTAAAGCTATTTTTCATTTTTAATTGTTTTGCAACTTTATTCTATAACTGTTTGTTCTCACTAGGCGTTAAGCCTAACACTTTTTTCTTAAATGACATGTATATCAAGATAGCATAGTAGTGAGGCTCCGAAGGTTTGAGTGGAGCGATGTTGGCAGTAGAGGAATTTTTGGGTTACAATCTTTTGGAAGACATTTGTGGAGTTGTTGATGTTACGATTATCCTTTTAAAAGTTGTAGCGACACCCGATTGTAATCTAGATCTATAATTGATTTAGATTAGTACGTTATTAGCTAACATTTATTATTGATGTAAACCCTCTTACTATTTCCCCTTGTTAGGTGATTGTGTTGGGTCACCTATTGATTTGGTGATGACCCACTGATCTGTTCCTCTACCTTAGCAACACTTAGTAGTTATTGGTTCTTTGTATATTGSYGTCTTGGTACATACTTAAAGCCATTGGCAAAATCGAAGACTAGCCAATGTGAAGACAGAAGGTCATCGATGCGGTGTTGTGGATCAACTGTCTAATATACACACCAAGACTCTGAAGTAGCTAAAATGCATATTGAAAATATTTTGAAGCTACAAGCCGATTGAAGGAAGATCTTCATAGATCGAAGATTGAAAATCTTCATAGATCGAAGATTGAAAATCTTCATGGACTCAAGATTGAAGATCATGGACCGAAGATTTGTGAGTAGCTGCTTGAAGCTRCATATCTATCCAAAGGAGATCTTCCTACAGACTGACCATATCTCTGCAAAGTTTGTCTCTACATGAACTGTGTTGTATGTACGTTGTGTACGATGAAAATGAGATATCAACATTAGTCAAGTCAACCCCTGCCTTCTTATCCTCAAATGATAAGTGTCCCCATACATAAATGCTGAAGGTAGTATAAAAAGGCAGTGTGCATCTCCCATGCACACAACTGTCTTTTGCAAGATTACTTAGTGAATTCTAAAAGCAATCAGCTATTCTCTTCTACTCCCCTGCTCTCCTGTGTGCGAAGAAATTCTTAGTGTTCTTCATTTCCTTTCAAGAACTCTTTGTGTTGTTCTTGAAAGTTMTTCTCCTTGTAAGATTGTTTAGGTTAGGTTTTCCTTTCCTATCTTCCGCAACAATCTTTTGTATTTCTGTGTGTATTAATTCTTGATATAAATCAATAAGAATTAAAAAATTGAAAAAGTTTGTGTAATTGTATTCAACCCCCCTCCCCTTCTACAATTACTTTCTGTTTATTGCCATTCCCTTCGGGACTAACAAGTGGTATCAGAGCAGTTAGCTTAATCTCAYAAGCTAGATCTGCAATGGCCTCTTCTTCTTCCAACTCTACTCCTTCTTCTTACCAAGACGATGGCACTATTGCCAAGCCTCCCAAGTTTAACAAGAATAATTTCTCTATGTGGAAAAGTCGCATGACACTCTACCTTGAGGGTGTTGATAGTCAATATCTCTCAATCCTCAAGGATGGACCCATTGTTCCTAAAGTATGGCTTCGTCATGGAAAGAGCAAAGACGATTGTAACTCTTCAAATGATTCTAATGATGATGAATAGAAATCTGACTCTACTGGAAGGTTCATCATCAAAGATCCTTCTCAGTACAATGAAGACGATAAAAGAAAAGTTTCCTTGGATACCAAGATAAGGGCTATCATTGCCCTCTCTCTTCCTGATGATGTCTTCCATTCCCTGGTAAACCTCTCTACTGCCAAGGACATGTGGAACACTCTATGTGTTCTGTATGAAGGAACCATCAAAGTAAAGAAAAACAAGAAGATTGGCCTTGTTAGGAAATATGAGCTCTTTGTGCACGGGAAAGGTGAATCTCTCACTGAGTACTACAACAGGTTTAACAACCTTTTCAATGATCTGAAGTTTCATGGCAGAGTCTGAAAACGAAGAAGTCCTATGCAAGTTTATGGATTGTTTAGCTGACTTCTGGGAAAACATCTGCACTTGTATCAAGACAAGTAAAGATCTTGAAAATATGCCTCTGACTGCTCTTTATGGAACTCTCCATAATTATGAGCAAACCAAGCTTCTCAAAAAGGCATTATTGAAGGATCTCATAACTTCTTCTCCTGTTTCCCTTCTCTCCAACGATACGAGGAAGCCAGTCAGTGAACCTCGTATCACTTATCTATCTGACACTGAAGAAGATGTTGTCAGAAAAGAAGAACTTGCTGAAAGTCATGATGATGATGATGATGATGATGAGGGTGATGAACTCTCAGTTAATGACTTGGCTGACAACATGGCTATGATGGCTACCAACTTCAAAAGGTATGCCAAAAAGGGCTCCTCTATCTTCTCTCCCAGATCTAAGGTCACCGACCGAAGAACCTTAGATCAATCTAAGTCAGCTCCTCTTGAACTGTCTAATGAGGAGTGTTTCAACTGTGGCAAGAAATGTCACTTTGTTGTTGAGTGCAAAAGCAAAAGGATCTCTAAGCATCATCCTTTTCATCCCTCTAATCGATCCTCTCACAATAAGTACAAGGCAAAGTATAAGAGAGAAAAGGCAAAGAACCTGAGCCTTCAGAGAAAAGGTAAGGGTCTCATCGCTGAGACTCATGACTGGATTGATGAGCCAACCTCTTCCTCCAGTGATGAGGACATGGCACGTCTGTGTCTTATGGCCAACATCCAGGAGATAGAAGACTCTGTCAAGGACTCCTCCTCTGCTGCTGCTACTGATCTACCTTCTACCTCTAAGGATGCCAAAGATCTGGTCAAACTAAAGAAGGTAAACAACTTCTTCTCTCTCTTTGAATCTGAAAAGGTTCAAGCTTATGATTCTTTATCTGTTGATCTTTACAATGCTAGATCTGCTAAGAATAAAGTTGACCTTGAAATCAAAAGTCTAACTAATCAGTTACATAAATGCATGAATCAATAGAAAGACTATGATAATTGAAAAATGACCTTAAAGAACAAAAGTTAATAAACAATGTTCTTAACAAAGAAAAAACTAAGGTCTTTGAAAAGCTAGAGAAAGAAAAAGCCATTCTTCAAAAAATGGGCTAGATCATCCAAGACCCTAGATAAAATTTTACATGATCAACTTCCTATTAAAGTAAAGACTGGCCTAGGTTATGATGATATGGATCTGTGTACTCCTGATGACTCTTTGTGCATTTCTTTTCACATTCTTTCTTCCTCCTCTCCATCTCACTTATCTGATTCTGTTGGATCTCTTTCTCCTAGATCCAATGAAAATGGAAAATCTCTTAAGTTCAGAATTTTTGTCAAAGGAAAAAGTTCAAACACTGAATCTGAGAATGTTCATGTCGATTGTGTGTTTAACTCTCTCTCTCTCTCTCTTAAGGAATCTTCTGATGCATGTTCTTATAAATCTAAAACTTCTGAGCATCTAAAGCATCCTTTGTGTAATATCCAATTTCTAATATGCTCAATTATTTGCTTAGTATATTTAATTATTGGGTTAAATAGAACTTATGATTTGGTAGGAGTTTGGGTCTAAAGTTTT